TATTATAAGCAAGCAGGATCTGTATAATATGGTCCTTATTGCTAGGTCCACACCTTGTATTTAAAGGCATAATGTGTGTAATAAACCATACACATTTAGGTTAGGCCAAAAGGTTTGGTCTATATATATATATATATATATATATATATATATATATATATATATATATATATATATATATTCCTTTCATCCATTATACCATATTAATATTACATTGTACGGAAGTAACATTAACGTAAGTACAAATGTTATTCTACTAGAAGTTTACAGGAATATTTGATCTGGTGACAGAGGAATTGGAGGATGGGGGGGGGGGGAGGCGAGGAGGGGCTAGTTATTTGCCCAATATCACATGACACTAAATTAAAATATATATATACCAAATATTGATTTTCACAATTTATCCTTCGAAAAATAATAGTTTTGTCCTACCAATGAAGAATACTAAGCGAGTGAATTTGAATTATTGAAATAAGGGATACCATAATATGTCAGTCCCAAATTGACCAATTTTGTGCTGAGTGAATGTTGAACCTAATTTATATAAGATAATATCAACTGCCGAGCATGCAATTTAATTATGAAAGAAAACCAATGCTTGTATACAAAACAATGACATGGATGTAAGCAGTTAATTAAATAAAAAATTATAGTTATATAATTTGATTATATTAATCAAAAGTAAGAAACTATGTACTAGTGTACTGTTATTATAATGTTAAAATCTTATTGGGTTTATTGTACAAAACATAATTCTGCTTAACTAATAACACATATTCTTAAAAGTAAGTTTAATTGTTTATGCTTTACCTGCATTGACCGAGAAAGTTCATTGGGATTTTCTGACGTGGTTTCCTCTCGTCACTGGTGCCTGACAAGGACAGCTGTCTAGTCGTTCAGATGGGACAAAAAATTGAGGTCCTGTGTATACATTGGCATGCACGTAAAAGATCTCCTGGCACTAAGAATTCGATGTAAAGTAGGCCATAGTGCTACTGCCCGGGTAAAATTTCCCTCATAGTACACTGTATGGCATATGCCTGTCTTCATTATCCCATTCGGAGCAGAACAGGACGTTAAACCCCATTTCATTTCATTTGTTTATGCTTTAATAGAGTCATCCGGCATGTGACTTTTATTCTGATTTATCTGCAGTGGCGTTTGTGGTGTTGGGGCGATTCTTGAGTTTACACCACCACACCCACCACACAAGAAAATACAACTTTATACAGTCCTTACTGCATGCCATTCATCTAATGCCACAACAGAAAAAAAAATATATTTTACAGTGCAGTAGAACAAAAGTGTCATCCCTCAATATATCCTACAGGAGATTCACCCCCACTCTCTAGATATGCTTCTGCATGTCTGCTCTGTGAATTAAAAAAAAATGCATTGTTTAAGATACATTATTATTATGTAGGTTCTAAATCTGTCTATTGCAGGTCTTTATTTTGGCTTCAAAATAGATTTTGAAATTTAACGATAAATTGGATAATGGAGACTAATATCTTCCAAAACCCATAAATTTGTTCAGAATAAAGTAATTTGAATGAAATCTTTAACATATTTAGTTTTCATTATCTATTTTGGACTATTCTAGCAAAAGAGGACAGCTCTTGATCTAAATTTTAAATAATGTATCTTTAATATTGTTATTAATTGGTTAGCGAGGGTATGCCTTATAATATGTCATTGGCCACGCCTTTCAAGGTTGGGTAAACGCATAGTTAGAAACTTTCTATTAGTATATAGGAAAAATTATTGAATACAGATTTTAAAAGGCGTGTTTTTTTGTGCCAGACCCATTCTATTTCTAATTGTACTAGGCTTACAACCAAGCCTATTTAAATAGGTCATGACTAAATAAATGATATGGACTTACATTTAAAAGATTTACATGTATAAGATTTATTGACCTTTCAACGAGTACCTTTTTTTTTTTCACAAACTTGTGTTGTCCTGATGTGAAAATATATTTAGTCTATGCATGCTTTCCTTTGTTGTCTGAATTACTATGTGTATTTTCTATAGTTGGGAACCTCCTAGAAAAGGCACAATATATATATAGGTGCCAAGCAGAGCGGAACATTTGTTGTGACTTTCGAACACTGACCCTTAATTTTTTTTGTTCTGAAGTGCATGCATTGTTGTTAATAAATTAAGCTTGTTATCTTTAATATTCATGGGTTCAATTCAAGGTTTCTACTGCCAAGGATCATAAGAAGGTCATATCTGGGGTTTCTCTAGTTTCCTACTAAAGGACCCACATTAATTATCTAAATGAAGATATGTCATATTCAAATTCCGTCCTGTAATGACCTGGTTAGAGTCAGGTGTATGCTCTCTCTCTCTCTCTCTCTCTCTCTCTCTGTGGCTAAGTGGGTAAGACACTAGCCTGGAATAGCCTGGAGATTGGGTGTTTGATCCCTGCATTGGCCGAAAAAGTTCATCCCGATTTTCCGGCATGGTTCCCCTTGCACGGAGGTTCCATGTACACATTGCCGTGCATGTAAAAGATCCCTTAACAGTTGGAATTCGATGTAAGAGTAGGCCTATAGTGCCGCTGTTCGGGCAAAATTTCCCTCATAGCACACTGTATGGCGTATGCCCGTCTTCATTAGCCCAGTTCATTAGCCCAGTTCGGAGCAAAACAATAGGATATGTTACCCCCCCCCCCCCCCGGTATTTATTCATTCATTCTCTCTATCTCAAAAAAAACCTCTTGTCACCAATGCTCTAGATCTGCCCAAGGTAGTAAATATTATCTAATCTACAACTAGCTACTTGAAAACTCAGTGGGAGAAATGATAATAAAGACAGAGTGCATAGGTTAACTTTATAGGTGGGATCCAACAGTCTTGTAACTTCTAATATAAATAACCTTGGATAATGCTATAACAAATAATATTCTGTATGAATAATATTTCCTCATAATTTGTATCTGCATAGGTTAACCTTATAGGTGGGATCGAACAATCTTGTGACTTCTAAAATAAATAACCTTGGATAATGCTTTAACAAATCATATTCTGTTCGAATATTTCCTTTCTTTTCCTATTCCTTTTGCTTTGGGAGCAGAACAGTAGGACATTAAACCCCATTTCATTTCACTTAATTTCTTTTGCTTTGGCAATGTGTGTAGCACTGTTGGATTGCACCACACAGTGCATCCTGATAGATATCACTTATTATGTATTAATCTTAATGACATAATGAGCAAAATAGTAGGATGTTAAACCCCATTTCATTTCATTTCTTAATGACATAAAGATACAATGATTGTAGCATTATTTGCTAGATATTCCTAGGGTGTGAAACAGGTTTAATAAGGTTTGACAAAGCTAGGTCAACTGGTTTTCCTGAATTTAATTGTTCAAAAAGAACATGTCAAGTCGGAAAAGTGAAAGCTATATAGAAGTCCACAAAAATTTTAACAGGATCGCAGCATATTCTTGCATTGTTAATTTTATGGTAGTGGAACATTTTTTTTTTTATAAACTATATTTAATTCTTTGAACACAATTGAGGAACAGACTAGGCCTATATTACCTCTTTTCCGTCTTCATTATCCCAGTGGATCTAAACAGTAGGTATATTGATGTATATGTATGTTTTGTATACTGTTCTTTTAATGGACGTAATATGCAAACAAAAAAGTTGAAGTAGGACATTAAACACTATTTATTTTCATTTGTATTACCTCTCTCCTAGCCAAAATAGCTACTTTTATATATCATGCTTTTGCTTAACAAAATCATTTATCTTGAGATCTGACAACTTAATTTAATCAATGCATACTAATGTCTCTTGGATTATTCACAATTTTCTTCTTTGTGTTTTATGTTTTTATTTTCTTACTTAAATTATTGTATGCTTGTATGCTCCCCCTTTATCACATATCAAAAGACAGTAGTTTCACGTTTGTATAGTTTTTTTTTTCTTGGTTATTATGAAGGGATACCATATAAACTTTTCTATGAATACAAAATGTTAAATAGCATATAAATCGGGAGTGAGTAGTTTTATAAAGGAAAAATATGGCAGACCTGTAGGAACTATTTTGAAAGTAAGGAGGCCACCACTGGAAAAAAAGAAAGAAAAATAATATTGTGAATTGAAGTGCTGAATAGTAAGTAGTTCAACAACAAGGTCTGCTTGTTGTAAAGATTACTACTGCCGAGCGGAGCTATATTTTTACGATCATTTATCATTCTTAAGATGTACAGAGATCAATCATACTTTACATATTTGGGTCATCCAAAAATATAATTTTACCAGAGACACCCAATAGCTTAATCAAAATACATTGTGGTTTTTTTTATTTTTTTATATAAATCTCTAAATATTGTGCTTGATAATACTAAGAGGATTCTTGTCTAAACATCATGCTTTTAGAATAAAGCCAGTGATTGATATCCCTTAAAAATTGTGTTTTGTTTAATGTGTTCCTCAATCACTAAATGTTGCTTAAAACATCAAGTAAATACACCTTGTTTATAACTAATTTATGTAGCATATTATTAAAAAAATGATCCCACATCCTTTCAGAGTTTTTACTGATACTTAGGATTGAAAGCGGAACTTAGGCATTTATTGATTTCGATTTTTGAACTTATTAGATCAGTCTATGAGGTTACTATAAATTTATTAGAATTAAACTGTTACACTATCTTAGTGATAACAGATATTAGTTTAGTAAATATATCATTTATTTACATCAGGTATATAAAACAGTTATGTAAATACAACAGGTACATAATATTAAACAGCAACTAAACTATGTACATCAGGAACATAAACAATAACATCAACACGGTACATTAATATATTATACCTAAATGATCGTTCAATTTGATGAAAGTTATAGAGCACTTTGTCACAAAGCATGCCAAAAGTGCAACATTTTCCCTGCCCAAAACAAAGTGACATTTTGTACTGTTATTAGTAGGTTGCGACAATTCTTTTCATATTTTGAAGTAAAGTCTTTGTATTTGCAGGTGATATTTTCAAGCTAACACCCAGCAATCTATACCGTTATAATAAAGATGTCGAATGATGTTCAGTTAACCAATATGAAGCAGATTGATGACGCCCCAGAGAATAAGCATCAACCTTCAAAGCCTAATATAAACGATGCCTATGTTGATTCTATAGAATCTTTAGTAAGTAAATTTTCTACTTTAGGAGATTATATCGTTGGTATATTACCAGCAATTTGGCTTATGATCTATATTATAAATAAAATACCTTAATCTTTTTACTAATTTAATCAATAGTCCATTTAGTAAAAGTGGGGTGAAATTTTGATTTGTCAAAACATTCTGTTAATAGAAAAAAAAGCCAGTTTGTCTTGTCTGAAAGTTTCACTTCAAGATATTGAGCCAATTAGTTAATATACATACATATATACACTGCATTTATTGTCTGTATCAGGTAATTGTATGGTACCTTATAATGGCAGCCCACCTTCTATCTCTGTTTATGTGACATTAAATATCCATATCAATAACCATTGTGGCCCATCATTAAAATGCTGGAAGTTTCTGATAACAGCAAAAATAAGAAACAAGGTGAAAATAATAAATTACATTCAGGTGCAAAGCAATTTAAGAGAATGCCTATTCTCTATTTGACCGAGAATTAGATATGCCCAAGCAAGCTAGAAATTAAATGCAACCAGAATAAGTCGAAAGAAACAAGAAAATCATCTGTCTTAAACAGGCATTATGCAAGAGTTAAATCTGTCTATTGCAGGTCTTTCTTTAGGGCTTGAATGGATATCAATTATTGATAAGTCATATTAACTTACCCAGACCATAATCAACTCTTGGTGCCTTTATAATTTAACGTAAAAATGGATAATCGAGACTTTGTTTATTATCGTACAAACATTAAAAATGACGATCGAAGCTAGCCTAATATTGAATCGCTAATATCTTGGTTCAGAGTGAAGCAATTTGACTGAAGTTTTTTAACTATTATAGCGAGAACTGCTAGCCCGTAGCTAGCCCTCAGAAAATTTTGGAAAATAAAGTTTGCACCAGAGGAGGGAAACTATGAAAATGACAGAATATTTTCAATTTTGAGGCTGAATTTGTGATATTGGCGTATTATGATATTTTGATATGAACATTATAAAACTTTGTAGAATGGAATACGACTTTAGTGTACCTATAATAATTTACGAGAAAAACGAAAAGTTTGGAATCGGGTTAGAGTCTGATTTGTTTGAATTTTGAAGATTATCACGCCTGGCCCCGAGTTCATAAAGCATTCTAAGACTTAAGTTAAGAATTTACTCAAAATTGTTCATCTTATTTTAACTAAAATATAGGCCTTTATTAAACTTTGGTTGTTTTAATGTATCAAATACATCAATAAGAAACTATGTGCAAAGTTTTGTGTTTCTGAATCAAAGATATTTCTCATAAACAGTGACTGAAAGTTGAGTAAATTCTCAACTTAAGTCTGAGAATGCTTTGTGAACTCAGGGCCTGGTGCTAGCTTGCATCAATCTTATCCCCATCATGAATTTGACCTGGAAAATTTCCTACAATCTCCTATTGGCTTTCTTATGGTAGATTTCTTCAGGCATCAGTATGCGGTCGGTTTCTTAGTTGGCGCCCCAGATCTTGTCGTAGGCGCCCCACAAATGTCGGCATTATGGACACCACCAATCATACCGTTTTGGGCACCCCATTGATCAAGTCTTGGGCGCCTAACCAATCTCACTCGGTATTATGCATTATGTGCGGCCTGGCAATCATATATTGTCATTATTAGACGGCCCTCCAATCATGTCATTATGGGCACCCCACCGGGATATGGCACCCCACAGATCACGCCGTTTTGGGCACCCCATCAATCAAGTTGTGGTGTTAACCGTGTGATTCATGTGAATTTGGCGCCTCATATATAACGACATAATTGGTGAGGTGCCCATAAACCCAAATGACATTGGTGCCCCCCCCCCCCCACACACACACACCAATCTTGTCGTGGACGCCTAACCAATGTCACTCGGCTTTATGGAGCAACGTTGGTCATTTGGCTTTGTATTGCATTCCATCAAAATCACAAATTTACAAAATATAATAGACTGTTCAACAGATAAGCTCTATTCCATCAAAATGACTAAGTTGATAGACTGTTTATGAAATATTTAACTCTATTTTTTTATTATTAAAGGATAAAGTTGATGAAGATGATGTTAGACAGAGAAATGGTGGAGATGTTGTTAAAGATGTAGAAAAACAAAAAGCATATGATAGTGTTGACGATGTCGAAAATGACAATTCAAATGACTATAACATGTGTTCACGTCAAGTTTTAACCATACAATCGGCCGTTGTCAACTTATATACAAATAATGAAAAATGGATTTGGAGAGTTTTTTATATACTACTTGCGATTCTTTTTGTGATTTATTTTGCTTTTGCGATGAATTATCATTTTGGAGATGAAGGATCTTATCGTTTACTTGGATATACAGTCCTGGGTGTATTTTTGTTATTCATGTATTTTGCCGGGCCTTATATATATCCAGCTATATCTCGGTGTACTGAAGTGTTTGATGGTAAAAACAGCGCAAGGAATGCAAGAATAATAAGATGGTGAGTAAATATTGATATCGTGTTAATTTGTAGACAGACTGGGCAGCCATGGTAACTCATTGAGTGAGACGATCTCTCACTAACCAGGAGCTCCCGGAGTTGGTCGAGAAAGTTTCCAGGAATTCTTCCACATGGTCAGTTGTGTTGGTAAGGAACAACTCTAGTTATTGACATGGGTCACATAAAAGAGGCTCTGTAGGGCCTATATATCTTGGCTCACTGCATGGTGTATGCCTATCTTTATTAGTTAATGATGTAGAAGTCATGTATTACTGGAAATAGTAGTCATTACACAGAATCCAATGGCTGGAATATGTAAAATCCAACAACTAGTGTATATATAGCAACAGACAGTTTTATGGATAACATTCAATAAGTTTATTAACTGCAACGTTTCAATGTGGTTACTCTCACCATTATCAAGCATGGGAGTAACCACATTGAAACGTTGCAGTTAATAAACCTACTGAATGTTATCCATAAAACTGTCTATATTATATATATCGCTTTCACTAATATAAATGCCCTTTAAAGATAGCTGGTGTAATATAGTTTATAAAATTCTTTTGAAATAATTGCACTGTATCCTAAAGCTTCCAAAATAAGACTCACAAGGGCATACAGTCTGTGGATTTTCTTGAAAAGTTTTTTTGAACAGGGTTATTGTTTCAATCATATTTACACAAGTTTTGATTGACTGACAGTGAAATGAACGATTGGAGAATTTACCTGAGAGTAAATTCACATGCATAAAATTAGAATTTCGAAGCACAACAATTTCAGATAAATTTATAGTGTAACTGTTAAACACTTAATAATATATATTTGTCCTCCACCTTTCGAAGAAAGCAGGACACTATTAAAATGGGTCTGTCCGTCCGTCTGTCACTCTTTTTGGGACACAATAACTCTCTTTCTAATTGAGCTAGAATGTTCAAACTTGGTATAGGTGTTTATTAGGTCAATGCCTTGATGAAGTTTGAAGATAGCTTTATTACATCAATACCTTGACTAAGTTTGATGATGAACATTTTCTGCTGAGGGTAAGCAGAGCGATAAGCGATTTGATTGGTTGTGACTTTGGAACAAATTAACTCTCCTTCTAATTGAGCTAGAATGTTCAAACTTGGTGCAGGTTATTTATTAGGTCAATGCCTTGATGGAGTTTGATGATGAACATTTTCTGCTTAGGGTAAGCAAAGATAAGCAATATCTGATTGGTTGATGCTTTGGGGCATGATAACTTTAGTTTTAATTAAGTGAGAGTGATGAAACGCCGAGTATAGATGCATTATATCATTACCTTGACTAAGTTCGATGATAAGAATTTTCTGCTTAGACTAAGGAGCGATAAGCAATTTGATCGGTCAAGACTTTGGAACATAAAAACTCTGCTTTTAATTGAGGTAGAATGTTTAAACTTGATGTAGATGTTCAGTAGGTGAATGTCTTGACTGAGTTCAATGATTAAAATTGTGAGCTAAAGCTAGGCAGAGCTAATCAATTTCATTGGTCGATGCTTTGGGACAAGATAACTTTGATTCTATCTGATAGAGAGTGTATAGTTGATAATCAGTTTGATTGCTTGATACTTTTGAAAAAAATAAATATGCGATTAATTAATATGTGTCATCTATTTATTTTGGGATTTCGGCGGGGGACATCAGCCTCACTGTTGGCTTGTTTTTTTTAAATTTTGGAAGAATATATTGATAATCTCAGATAAAAAACTGCTTCTTAAAAGAGTGTGTCTACAGTCTGTAAGTAGGTGAAGATTTTTGGCACCATTTTTTTCTCTCTTTTCAGGCTTTTATATATCATAGCAACCGTTAGTATTATTACAACATTAATTATATATGTTGTCCTGGAAACACCAGATAATCTCAAGTCTTTAGGTGGATTAGCAGCTTTCTTATTCATCACCTATATTACATCAGTAAATCCTGCCAAGGTAATGTCTGTTTCATCATTTTGACTATTGACATTTTACTCCTTATTCATCCATCACATCCATCCCCCTTGATCATTTTCTTCTTTCACAGGTTGTTGCACTTAAACTTAGTTTGAAGATTCTGCTGATGTACTGGATTACTATTCCATCTGGCACTCAGATCGTAATTACCTTTTACTTCCCCAACTCCATAATTGCATATTGGGTGAAATTACTGTAGCTCCTTTTTTTTTACATCATAAAATCATGACACAAAATTAAGAGAGTATGACTTCTAAGCTATTTCATGTGTTAACGTTGATTATTTTGGCAAAACTCAAATGTATATTATGATGTATAATATTATTTGTGTCAATGATGTTATTTGTTTGATTATCCAGTAGTATAGCTTGTAATCAATACTTATTGTAAGTGTTATTGTTAAATTTGGGGAGCATATAAGACCTTTAAGTTCTGGATAAATTTTCTGTGGTCAACCTCACTGTATTTGTTTTCCAATGGTCACTATTTATATATGTGACAGTCAATGTCTACAATCAGGCAATGTGTACAATGCCTGAAATATACCAGTCAATGTGTACATTGCCGGGTTAGGGTTAGGGTTGGGTTTAGGGTAAGGGTTGGAGTGTGGGTTAGGGTTAGGGTTACAAAGGCATTGTACACATTGCCTGATTGTAGACATTGACTGTAACATATACGCTTGTCGATGACAAATATTTATCGTCTAGGTAGCTGACGATCACATTAATTTGATAATAAAATGCCAAAAGCATAGACGTTGTTGGTGATTTGGTGCCTTATAGGTTAATAATTTTGTGTTCACATTAATATTTTTTCTCAGGTCAACTGGCATCCAATTTTCTGGGGTTTAGCTCTTCAATATTTCTTTGCTCTGATCATATTGAGAACACAACCTGGTTACGAGCTGTTTAATTGGCTTGGTGATAGAGTAACAGAATTTTTAGGATACACAGATGCTGGTTCTGAATTTGTCTTTGGGTCGAATTTTAAAGATCATTTCTTTGCTTTTAAGGTAAGATTTTGTTTATTTTTTTCAAATATTTTTTATAAGATTAGATTTCGTTTATTTTTTTCAAATATTTTTTATATTGAGTCTGAATAGAAAGATGCTCTCTTTGATTTCTGTAGTAAAATCTTCCATTTGATTAAATCTAAGAATGAAAGCAGCAGACTGTGAAATGGAATTCTAAACTTTTTCCATTTTCTTTTTTTAATTTTTCACTTGACCATATGAACCACATTTATGTTGAATTATGCAGTCGTATGACTGACAAAATATTTGCTCCAATTATCAAGTAAGTAGCTAGGTGATGGCGGATGAGTGTAGGATGTCTATCTTTATGGAAAATTCCTCCGAAGATCTGATTCCGCTCCATCTGTTAAGTCATTGGAAGTGAGACAAAAATCTGATTAAATTAGTACATTACCATGAGATAACTAGTATTTTCCAAGTGGAAATACAAAAATGTATTAAAGGTATAGGAGACTAATGGGAGCAAATTTAAGAGCACACCCTTTGTGATGGCCGAACAATCCCTTTAGTAGAATTAAGTAAAACATCAAGTAATTATGTTCTACAAGGACAAGATTACTTAGAATTTAAAGATGCTGATGCTGAAATGAATCTCTAATCATTTGTCTTAATTGTTAGCATTTGATATTTAAAATTATGTTCATATTTCTTGTGTTATATTTCTAACTCAGAATTCAATTTTGTTTGTGATCTATTTTAGGTGATGCCAGTTGTGACGTTTTTCAGTACATTTATAGCTATCACATATTATCTAGGTATCATGCAGGCGATCGTTAGAGTATTTGGCAGATTTCTTAGTTTTTGTTTAGGAACAACACCTGCGGAATCACTGAATGCTGCTGGAAATATCTTTGTTGGTATGGTAAGTTGAAGATAGTTTATTGACGCTTTTTTATACCTTACTTATAGAACACCTGATACCACTTCTTTTTAATCATCAGGGTTGACAAAGTTGTCTTAAACCACTGGGCTGTCATGTGTGTCATTCAACAGGTGTCATGAAGTTCACGGAAGATTATTTTATGCTGAAAATTGGCAACAAATATGTTTGTTTATTTAACTCACACACAATTATAACACACAATAATAGAATATTTTTCATCAGGTTTTAGTCATGTAGATATTAAAATTATGATTAGTCACCAGAATTTTCAGTGATCAATCAAATAAAAATGTTGCAAATAATAATTCAAAACGTAATTAACCAGAACTATAAACTCAAAGAACCAAATGAATCAAGCTACTTTGCTGACCTACTGGATTGCATACTCTGACTAAATGAATTAGATAGACTGAAAAATGGTAGCTTAGTACAGCAGTGTAGCATTAAGAATTATGATAATGGCAATTAGGGTATTTTGAAACTATTCAGTGAAAACTAAATGGACGTAAAATGGCTCATTATGTATTTATCATTACATATAACTATCTTTCAAAGGAAATAACTTTTCAAGATATTCAAATTTTATTTCTTTTAGACAGAGGCACCTTTGATGATTAAACCATTTTTACCTATTATGACATTATCAGAACTACATGCAGTAATGACAGGTGGATTTGCTACTATAGCTGGCAGTGTGTTCGGAGCTTATCTGAGCTATGGGGTAAGGAAAAACATTGTAGATCTAGTTTTTAGTCTATACCCAGCGGGCACAGAACGTTGTGACAACGTTTTTCAGAGGTTGTATCACAACGTCTGAAATAAGTCAGCTGTAGGTTGTTTTGCAACAAACTCTTACGTTGTGACAACGTTGTACGGACGTCAAAGCAACATTGTCACAACGTTGTGTGGTGGTTGACGAAAAGTTGTGTGGTGGTTGACGAAAAGTTGTGACAACGTTGTACGGACGTCAAAGCAACATTGTCACAACGTTGTGTGGTGGTTGACGAAAAGTTGTGACAACGTTGTACGGACGTCAAAGCAACATTGTCACAACGTTGTGTGGTGGTTGACGAAAAGTTGTGACAACGTTGTACGGACGTTCAAGCAGCATTGTCACAACATTGTGTGGTGGTTGACGAAAAGTTGTCACGACGTCAGAATTTGTTGTTTTGCAACGTTGTGTGGTGGTTGGCGAAAAGTTGTCACGACGTCAGAATTTGTTGTTTTGAGGTTGTATAAAACCCAGTATAAGCCCCATCCGAACTCCCTACAGTTCTGCCCCTACTGGACTAACGAAGACGGGAATAGGCGGCCGGGCAGGATGGAAGTTAAATTAGGTGTGTGTGCGGGGAAGGGGGGGGGGGCTTAAATGCCCGACAGATTTGGGCCACGGTTTTGACATAGTGAAACGATACGCGAAGTTTCAACACTCTCACTCAATTAGAATCAAAGTTATTGTGTCCCATCACAACCAATCTAATTGCTTCTTTCTGAATAAAATCAGTATCAATTAATAGGACAATACGTAGTTTCAAAACATTCAATTCAAACGATTATATTACAGACAATATTAATGCTAGAGTCATATAACTTTGCAGTAATGGGTAAAGGTAATAGAATCTGATCATTAAATTTTAAGTAATGGTCATGTAATGAGTAATGGAAGATTTCAAAAGTAATGAGTAATGGAAATGTAATTAATTACATTCCGAAAATCATGTAATGGTCAATTACATTTCAATTACATTTAATGGCGCATTTTTGAATGGCATTTAGTAATTGGAACATAATCAAAAAACACACTTTTATGGAATAACAATTACTATGGTTTATTTCACTGCAACGTTTCAACAAGATTTCACAAGTCATTTTCAAGCATATATATACAAATAAATAAAATGAGAAAGATATGAATATATATATAAACATCAGTGGGAACTATCCAATGGTATGCAAGGAAGGTGAACATGAGTAGCTATCACAAGCTATTGATGAAACAACGGTAAATAATCGTATATACTAGGATTAACTCATTATACAATTAAAAGATCAAACAGCGGATTGTTGAGATGTACTGAAACCATACACATTATACTATATAATTGAAACCAGTTTAAAAGAAAATAAGGCATAGATCTATACATGATTAACTAAATATACATTCATAAAAGATCAAACAGAGGATTTACAGAAATATATTAAAACCATACTCTTATGCATTCAGTGATAACTAGAGTTTTAAAAGAATATAACAAGGAAACATATTTAATGTTATTACATTTTATTACTATTTAAAGATTAGTGCTAATTTAGCATTTAATCAATCAGATTTAAAGACATGGTAAAACTATTGTCTTTAAATCTGATTGATTAAATGCTAAATTAGCTCTAATCTTTAAATAGTAATAAAATGTAATTATTTACTTTCAATGTAATGGGTAATGGTAATGAATGATATTGCTAAAAATGAGAAAGTAATTGTAATGCAATTGGTACCGTAATAATAATAAAAATTTATTTATTTATAAAGCGCCTGTTACCAATATAAAACACTGCTCAAAATGGCTTATAAAGATTATAATAAAATATGACATGTAATAAACAAATTAAAACTGTACATGTACTTAATTGGTCCCTCTTCTGTCGGGTGCATATTTTAGATGAGCCGAAACTGCTGTTATTATCTCGGCTTCCTTGCAGCTCGGCTGACTGATCATTACACTATCTGAAGAATACAAAAAAACTGTATATTTACTCTGTCAAAATTTGTAAATTATATAATTGAGTCCGATCAAAAAGGTCGTCTTAAAGCTGTAACAGATAATTCTGCATCCCATGAATTATGGAGCAAAGGTGGCTAATTGGGTAAAACGCTGGCTCGCTTGTCTGGAGGTCGCATTTTCGATCCCTACATTTGCCGAGAAAGTTCAGTAGGCCTGACAAGGACAATTCGTTTGGATGGTATGAAAAACCGAGGCCACGTGTACACATTGACGTGCAAGTAAAAGATCTCTTTGGCAGTTGGAATTCGATATAAGAGTAGGCCATAGTGCCGCTGCCCGGGCAAAATTTCCATCATAGCACGCGGTATGGCTCATGCCCGTCTTCATTAGCCTAGTCGGAGCAGAACAGTAGGACGTTAAACCCCATATGAATTATATTATATATGACCCAATAACACATTCTATATGAGACATCGCTTGTGTTATAACTTTCATATTCTCCATGAATTTGTACGTGTAAGAAAGGCTTGGGTGTAAATTACAAAAAAAAAAGATCAATACTCATCGATGAAGTAATAAAAACTCCTGTATGCCCATACCATGTTTGATTATCCGATATTTAAGGATATGTTCGTAAATTGAGTATGATAAAAACAAACCTTGGACAACTTTGTAAATTTCTAAGTCCATTATGGACCGCCTCCCTTTATTTCCCTTTAAATTAAATTGGGCCATTAGGGAATTAGACATCAACCTGTTAAAATAAAAAGACATACTGTTTATGCGTTTGACAATACCACGAATTTTGACTTTCCATTCCTTGACACCTAGAAATGGACATAAATGGGTTGCAACGCATATAATAATGTAATATGAATGTATATTAACTGATTTACATTCAATCGTTTCTGTTTTTACTGTAATGTCTAATCAGTTATGTTCGGCGAAATACGCGAAGAGAGAGAGAAATGGGGTTTAACGTCCACTTGACACAAACTAGGTCATTTCGGGACTAACATATGGTTCAATTTTATTTCAATAATTCGCTAGCGCGTAGGGGGTCTTTTTAGCAGTGGGACGAAACCTGAGGACCCGGAGAAAACCCACCAGGTTGGACAGGCGACCCAACTCCTTGTCACGTACAACCGGGGAAAAAAACGGTTAAAAAAAATTACAAACCGATATTCGTTTTCATATCATATTTGACATTCAAAACCAGGAATGGTAGCCAAAAATGTTTTCCTTCACTAAAGACTATATAAATAGTTCATACAGCACGAGTGCATATATCACTTGTCATTTGTAATATATCACAAGTTTTGTATACGTTACATTTCTATTAACACTCCCTGCAAAGCTTCATGAAATTGGTAACCCTATACATTTAAAGATAATAGATACTGGGAAAGTCCATTATACAATACTATAAATATTGTAATGGCCCCTTCCAATTCCAGACATAGATTGAAATAGCTCTTTCTAAATCCAGACATAGCAATTAACCAAAAACTAAATGATTAAAATGCAATACAATTATAAAATAAAAACACTAAAGTTTCAAAACTAAAATAAATCATTTAAGAGGTAATAAAACATATTTAAAATACTCAATTTACTTTGCAAGGAGGGTTCAATAATGAAATGACAATAGAAGTTCGGCTACCAGTAGAAAATAATCTACAATTACCGAAACAATTAATTCTTTTATATCATAATTATTTCTAAATGGACACAAAATGTTAATTAATCGTAACATACCTAATTTTCAACTTTTACGCCTTCTAGCAACTTATAAAACTCAATAGTTTATCACAGCTCTAATAAAGCAGCCATGTTTGGCTAGGATTCCTTTTTGGCGGAAATATGTTTAAATTTGATTGGACCAACTGTCAACCTTGGGTGTGTTTTAAAATAAAATATGTATAAGATAATTAATCTTGACCTTTATTGGGTTTTTTTATATACCGGTACATTAAATATAGATATTTTGCAATTAAGTTATGAACGTAATTAAGTTTTAAAGGTGTATTAAACCTTTAATAAATGTTTTTAAAATTTTTTTTTTACCTATTCATTGCGGGTTCTTTATAAACGTTTCATAAACGTTAAAAAAAAAAATCATATTTACGGTACTACGTTTTAATGGAAAATTTTGAAAGAAAACATCAATTATGAACGTTATCTAAACATATTATATTAAACATTTTTATCAATATTTATCGAAAACTTCTGAAAAACATACACTTAAAACATTTAAAAAACGTTTGATAAATATTTTTTTTTTACATAACCTTTTAGAAACAAAAAAAAAATAACAAAAACAAAAACAAAAAACGTTTTTAAAATATTTTGTGCTTGCTGGGATTTACTTAGACCTGTAATTAATTAAATAATGGCCAGGTTTCACACTTATATATACTGAGCGCCATGGAAAACGCATCACTTAGTTTTTCGTATAACAAAATGATCCTGTAAACATATCTTATTTATTTTGCTTCTTATTGTGAACAATATTCAAATGGGAACACATCAATAACAACACATTTGTACACTCATGGATGTTTAATCTGTAATCAACGGTACAAAGTCAGATGTGTGTCCTCCGCGGGCTCTTACGCACGCTGTGCAGCGACGTCGCATGGAATTAACCAATGTTTGAAAGAAGGCCTGGGGCAAATTGTTCCATTCTTGGACAAGAGCAGCTTCTAAAGCAGCAATGGTGTGCATCTGTGGTCTCCGATACAGACGGCGTCCAATCGCATCCCAGACATGTTCTATCGGTGCCATGTCCGTAGACATGGCTGGCCAGTCCAAGACATTGATGTTGTTAGCAGCCAGGAAGTCCATACTAAAACGGGCGGTATGCGGACGTGCATCATCCTATTGGAAGCGCTGAAGTTGTGGGTGCGCTCGAAACATCGGAACAACAATTGGTTGCAAGACATCATCACGGTAGGCTACAGCATTAACGCGACCCCTGCAAATGTGTAGGGCGGTC